TCCTTGAACTTTATTTTAAACTAAAACGTGATACAATTCTACTCGAAATCAGTTCCTTATGCATTCGACTTGTCCATGGATGACTGTACTCTTGCATAACTTTTGGCCCATTTGGCTTTCCTCTCTGCTGTCTTCCTTTCCCTGTTGCGTCTTGCCCGTTCCTGTTTGGCGTCAATAGCTGCTCTGTTTATTGGAGGAAGTCGTCTAGGAGGGCCGTATGTTGCAGCTCGGCACGCTTCCCGCGAGTATGTGGTGTACTGGGGATATTTCGTTTTGTACTCTGGAACACCAGGTAGAGTGGAAGAAATCGAATTGGCTTCGGATTCGCCTTCAATTTGTAGTACAAAAGCCACCCCTCCCTCTCCCTTCCTGGGGACAACTCCCTGCTCCTTCAGTTGCATCAAAGCTGTCTGTTCTGTTTTACGTATTGCGTTAGAAACACTGAAGTCTAGTGATGTCACGACATCCTCTCGGGTAGGAATGTTGATTGATCCGACCTACGAGAAAAGAATAGAAATGTTTTACTTGTGAGAGTCAAGAAGTCAAAGCTGCTTGAAACAGTAGATGTATCAACATAAAAGTGATTGAGATTTGTATGGCCGTTATTAGAAATGATATGTTTAACAATATTTGTACCTTGTTCCTCTTTATCAAACAAGGGAAAATCCATCTCTCTCGTGTATTTTCATCCGTCTTCGAGTTATTACATCCCATTTTCTCGTCAAATATCTGAGATAACTAGGTTTACGTGACAGTCGTGCAGCAAACTGCGCATAGATACGAAATGTATTGTGACGTCACAATTGAATACGATTCATGACGTCATAATGCATATCTGAAACGAGGTTCTATATAAGTGTGGGTTGCGTTTACTTTTGAAATAGCATAGCTAGACCTATGTAAATGTACATGTATTTGTACACCTTCTGGTATGATGCGACAATTACAGATATAATGATACAGTACAACTTTAAAAAATCCGTGCGTTAGAAGACCTTCGCGTATAGATACCAGACTCAGTAACGAGTTTGTATCGATACACTTGTAGTAAACTAATATTGTAACAGGGGAAAGTCAGAACAATTAGTGATAGAAAAACAAAAGTTGAATATAACAAAAAAAATGTACATGTATGTACCACAAAAAAGATTAAATTGAAATATGAATAAACAGAGACACAATAGATGGTTATTTGCTTTTTATCACGCTGATTCAAGAACCAATTAAAGCAGCAAAAAGGGTTTTAAACTTTCAGCTTCCGTAGAAGAATTCTCTTTCACTTCCTCTCTCGCAGTCATGTTTGCCGTCTCATTCCGTCGCTCTCCTGCCTGTTATTTAGCCCAGTCTTCACTGAGGGAATGCTACCAGCTGAGAAAAGCGTGCTAATGTCTTGTCTCTCGGAGCTATAGAATTTTTTTACCTAATTGAATCACTGTTTTAATATCACTAAGAGAAGTGCAGAAATGATCGTTTTAAGTGTTGCTTGATTTCGGTTGTATTGAAATGCAGAGGAAATCATATTAGAATTCTTGCAAAATACCATTATGTGTGCGAGGTATGGAATTTGTTCAATACAATTTAATATTTAAAAAAATGGAGAAAAAGTCCATTTGTCACTAAAAAACTCATTGAAATGGATGGTAGGTATAATAGATATAGCTCATCACACGTGGCATATAGAAGGTATAAAATTATTTCCATTTTACAGACACGATGATCCAATTACATGAAGGGGTCGCGACTACTGTCAGTAGATGAAGATTCGGTGTGTATACTTAGATGTTTCCTGCACGTTGTGGGTTGTTTTCTGTGCTGTCCTTGGGCAGGACACTTTAACCAAACTGCTCGGGAAATAAGATGGACCTCCCATATCTTGTTCAGTGAGGTAGCCAACATCTGTTACAAGGAAATCCACATCTCAAAATGGCCTGGACAGTTCACGGGGCGATACATTCAAACCAGCATACAAACAAATGCCAGAACTAGTAACAAATTAAGGGTGTAATACCGATGGGAATAAAAATCATAATTACATGACATAGTATAAAACCTTCTTTCATTCGAGTAAGTTTTTAAAAGTTGAAAATAAAGCAAACTTAAGCAAATGTCTTTTTGTAATTTGAAGATAATTAACACGTGAAAAAAATGCCATATATAATAAACACGAGTTTATGTCACCTCTTTCAAACAAAACCCCAGGATGAACCGCCTTCGGCATCAGCTGAGGTGTAATGATATGGCCTGTAGCGAAATACTGCTAAGCAATATGCAAAACTGACAATTTCAGATATACGAGGAAATGTTTTTTTTTTTTTTCTTTAAGAATCATAACAAGAAATAATTAGTCTGTTATCTTAAAAATAATAAATCTATAGAAATCCGTATCGAAATTATATTACAAAAACGATCGTAAATTACTTATTTCACGCTTTAATTTCCGCGAGTGTGTAAGATGCATTATCGGTCAATTTTCAACTTCTCAACCAATCAAAAGAGAGGAAGGTCATTTATCTATCCGTCTTAACATTTTTACAATGGTCTTAGAGTGTGGATAATGTGTAAGAAATCATATACAAATGTCAAATGGAATCAATATCATAAATATCATCTGGACAGTCACCATTAACTAAAGTCATGGACTATTTAATAGATTATACGTCTGTCTGAAAATCTTCAGCTTACAACAAAGTGAAACGTTCAAAAACTGTCAGAAATACAGAAATATGACCAATGTACGGTGAAAACACCGTTCGTACTCGCTAAGTACGTGCGGTGTTTTCTGTCCGTTAAAACGGCATTTACACGTATAAAAAGTGTTGAGCTACTTTAAATCAAAGACCAGCCAGGCCTTAAAGTTAATTTCTCAGATAAGTGAAACTGAGCTGGCTATGAACAGATCTGATTTGAAGTATATATCAAATGTCCGCCTTCATTCTAGGAGAGCAATTCTAAATCCCTTCACATTTTCCAATAAAAAAACACCGAGACAGTCTAATTCTGATGGAGTGCAGTTCAATTAGTATGACCAGATTTCAAGGCAGTATTCCGAGTATGTACCATGCTGTTGGCACAGGATCAAACAAGAGGCAAGTTCGTGAATGACTAGCAAGTCAGGTCAAAGATTTCAATAGAGGGCAAATAAAAGGGACATAAGCCTTCATGCGTTGTAGACAGGTCGCAGATCTGCATGGAGGATATATAAAGGGGTCCTCGATCTCCATACAGAGTAGATAGGTCGCAGATCTGCATGGAGGACATATAAAGGGGTCATCGATCTCCATACAGAGTAGATAGGTCGCAGATCTGCATGGAGGACATATAAAGGGGTCCTCGATCTCCATACAGAGTAGATAGGTCGCAGATCTGCATGGAGGACATATAAAGGGGTCCTCGATCTCCATACAGAGTAGATAGGTCGCAGATTTGCACGGAGGACATGTAAAGGAGATATGGGCCCCCATACCGTGTAAATGTCCATATTGGGCGTCTAAGGGGAACATTGATCTCCGTACGTTGTTAACAGGTGGCAGATCCCAATGGAAGACATATAAAGAATATATGGATATCCATATATGGTGGATCTCGATAGAAGACATATAGAGGGTACAAAGATCTCCATACATGATAAATAGGTTGTAGATCTCGATAGAAGGTATATATATATGCCATGAACCAATGATTTCCTTACCGTGTAGATAGGTAACTTCCACTGAGGGTAAACAAAAGGGTATATGAGGCTCCATATTAGTTGTGAATAGGTGAAGGTAGCAGATCTCAATATATGACATATAGAAAACAAATCGTAGATCTACTTAGATCTGTTTAGAGTAAATACTATACAAGGTAGGGGTCTACTTGGATAGGCCGCGGACCTCGATAGCAGACAAAACATATTAGGTACTAGATCTTTATAGATTGGTTGTAAAATACAACGTATACCGATACAAGTTAAAGATCTAAGGGACATAGATCTTTATAAACATGTCGTAATTTTCATAGAAATGAATAACACTGATTTCGATAACACTGAGGACAACGTATCTTATGATATAAAACAAAATAGTCACTCCTTATTTGTAGTATTTCCTGGCTGCACGAGAATAGATTTTTATCAACGTTACGGACTCACTCGCTATATCTTTTCAACCAGACACGCTATATATACCATGTTTACGTTTTATGAATGTTAAATACTTAAAACAATAAACATTTTAAAACAACATGTATTACAAAGACAAACTAAGACTAATGTCTACAAAGATAGCCTGTTTCATAGCACATTATACACGTGATACATGTACTGAATGATGAGATAATTATGTGATAAGTGAGATTTTCTGAAAAGAGCACGGCCGCTCAATTCGTTTCACCTTAAAATAATCGTTATTTTTAAAAATCTTCAAAGAAACATTTGGCAATGAAAGCCAAGCGTTGGCCTACGATGGCGGAGTAGTTCTATTCACTGTTTTCCACAGTTTTTCCTTCCTTCACACTTGCTTTGTCACCATAACGGGACCTCGGCAACGTATCGTCTGCTCGAAGGTATGAAATTGACAAACGTTCTAACGAGGTGATAATGGCGGGAGTCACGCGCGACAATGAATTCACGCAGTTGTCGAGACAGCACGAGATATTAACTGGACTTCAAATGTGCCGAAAATCGGTTTATATGTAAACATTGCAACACTTAGCGCCAAGATCAAACTCATTCGGAAGACTGCTGATAAATTGCATAAAATTAATTAGCTGAGTTTGAATACACTGAAAAGTTGTTGCCGTCTACAAGTCGCCGATTTTCAGCCAAACATGCCGGCGACATGTGTTTAACACAAGTACTTCTTGCATGTTCCATCGCGTCCTCTTTCCAATGTTATATTTCTTTGCCAAACTTTTATCAAAATGGTATTTGCCTCTTCATATGGTCAAGCAGCATTAACTTCTTACATTCCAAACATCTAGATAAGTTTACTCGGTAACATCTATAACACAACTATTTTGGAATGTCAAATGTTTCTGATATGAACATTTCATCCAACCGCATTGAAAGGAAACGAAACGAGCGAGAAAGGCGCCGAGTTCAAGGAATTAATCAACTTTTAGTTGCACTGAAGGACAAGCTCCCTGCAGACTGGACTACTCCAAAAATGAGCAAACTCGAAATTCTTCGAAAATCCACATCATATATAAAACTACTGATGGAGATGTCACTGGACGAAGAATCAGAAATACCACATAAAGTCAGTGACGAAAGTGCATGCGAATTCCAAGACCAGTCGTTTTCTGGAAGTTCAAATTCATCGACAGGTTCTGTTGGAACTCTACTCGCGTGTTCAGGGGAACTCCCCGTGGCTTCAAACAGCGATTTTGTTTTATCTGACAGCTTAGAAAATGGACGTGTTCATTCTGAAATATGTTTTCCGACATCATCTGGTCAGAGTGTTTCTTTGGAAAGATCACCAATATCACATTTGTTTACCTGTAAATACCAACAAACAATACCGACACAAGAGCAGTGCGTGCCAGCCATGGAAAATAAAGACACCGATTTAGCGGCCTTGCATGACTCTGGGATGCCGACGATGTATTAATATTTCATACAATATTACAATGTATCAATATATACCATCTAATAACAGGCGGACGGTGCTGAAACAAGGAATTTATGTTAATTTTCATATTGTGCAAAGACTGAAAAAAATACATATTTCTTTACGTTCGTGTTCGTTGTGGTCTTTACTAATACAATCTGTTTCAAGGGAGGCAACTCGTTTGATTTTACCGTTCGGATTAAACAGCATGTGTCTTTACGTAAGGTTTGTCAAGATCAGCATTTTTTATCATTTCCATTCACTTTAATTTTCTTAATTCCTTTTATGATAACTTTTAATGAATTCATATGTTGTCGACATAATATGGAATTTACAATGGTAGTGTTTTCGCACCTTGTGGCATTACTGTTTGTCAGTGAACCGGCTTCTCATGGCATTCATTGTTTTTATAAACACTTATTATTTAACGCTAGAAATATGGTGTTTGACTGCAACACTGCGATTTATAGCAACCATAAATGTCACGACATGACAGTTAATCTTTTACTAACCTTCACTAACAAAGCCTGCCATATTAAACTATTTTTTATATCGTCATGGTAACACGAATAACATAAGGACTCTGCCGGCTGCTAAATGTCAAATAATCTTATATTGTCTTTCATTGTACTAGTGTACAGGAATTTTTCAGGAATTCCCAGACTATGGTCAATATACATTCATTATTTTCATCAGTATACCAGCGTGGTACACTGTGTCAGGTGCAGGAATCCTGATTTTTATGTCCCCGAATCGAAAGATCGGGGATATATTGTTTTTGTGTTGTCTGTTGTCAGCTTTAACCTTGCCCATAACTATAGCACCGTATGGCTTTCCTGTATGACTCTTGTGACAAGACCTTTCAGGTGGCACCAAAATATTTGACCATGTAACCTCGACTGTGACATTTGAAAAATTAATCATTGGCTTTAATTTAACACTATTGCAAATTGAAGACATAAGTGTTTCACTAAGTGTGCCTGCAATTAGCACACGCCTTACACAGTACAGTTTAAATGTTCCTCTTTATAATTTGGTTGCAACCAGGGAGGCATAGTGTTGCATAAACACATCTTGTTGTCTTTGTTATATCGTCCTAGCTACTGCAGTAAGAGAATAAACCGACTGATTAAATGAACACAAATTTATTCAGTCGTGACGAGAGTTTGAAAATACGCCAGACTGTCAAAAAAATACATATATATTAAAACTCATCTGTATATAACACAGTAAACCTTTCAAGCACCTGAAAATCTCACTCTGTTTCAGATACTAGAATTTATGATCGACTGATTTATATACATAGTTCATGATTCTTGAAAGCTGACTGTTAACATTTCTGTGGAAGTAAGATATCATAGACTCTCTAAGACTGTTTTGGAGTGAATGAGGAATGCAATGGAAAATGTGAACAAAATGGTTTAATTTATCCTGCAACTGGCACTGATATTGTCGGAATACACCTGCCACATATAGTTTTGCTGCAGTCAGCAATGACGGGAAATCACTTTATTTTAGTACGTACGCTAATTCACTTTCTGAAATTAATTGAAAAATACGTAAAATAATAAAAAAAACACTATTGAAATATAAAGCGATTTATATGCTGTAATGAACAAAAGGCATAAAATCGCTGTAATTTTCGATGAAATTTGGAATTGTATTTCTTCGCGGAGCAATTATTTTGGCGTACGTCATCAAGCAAAATTCATCGTAACGTTTAAGTTTTGATTGTCTGATTTTCAAAACATTGTTGTAGGAGAAACAAGAGATCCCAGAGGGATCTTGCGCCCACCATTTGAGGATCTGTTTTCAGTTCTTGAAGATTTGTTTTTGTTTTTGTTTATTTTGTTACAGGTGTTGTAAATGTTCATGAACTGGTCTTCATTGAATGTACTCAATGATGGCACAAGATATTTTTATTAAGCACCTATTAGCAAATATCATTTGAAAAAGATCCCAAAGTATTATTAGATAGCAGTCAGTTACAGGTGGATAATGGACATGGTCTTGAATCAATATGATAGAATATCGACGAAAATATGCTGTGCTGAATTACAGTCGACATCCAAGATGGCTGTCTGCGGGTCACCTTGATTTCAAATCAGTCCAAAAAAGGTACAATACACAACTAGGGACCAAGGGAAATCAATACCTATGAAATATCAGAAAGATCCATCCAGTACTTCCTAAGAAATAGCGGTAAAAAGATTTTACTCTCAAAATCCAAGATGGCTGCCTGTCAGCCATCTTGATTTCGGATCAGTCCAAAAAAGGTCAAATGCACAATTAGGTCCCAAGGGAAACCTGCATATTAAATTTGAGAAAGATTCATCAAATATTTTCCCAGAAATAGCGATAACAAACTTTTACTTTCAAAATCCATGATGGCCGTCTGTGGGCCATCTTGAATTCGAATCAGTCCAGAAAGGTACACTGCACAACTAGGGACCAAGGAGAAACTGCATATGAAATTTGAGAAAGATCCATCCAGTCCTTTCTCAGAAATAGCGGTAACAACCTTTTACTTTCAAACTCCAAGATGGCTGCCTGTCAGCCATCTTGAATTACAATCAGTCCAAAAAAGGTACACTGCACAACAAGGGACCAAGAGGAAGCTTCATATGAAATTTGACAAAGATCCATCCAGTCCTTTTTCAGAAATAGCAATAACAAACTTTAACTTCAAAAATCCAAGATGGCCGTCAAGCGGCCATCTTGAATTCAGATAAGTCCAAAAAGAAATGATGTACAACTAGGGACCAAGAGGAACTTGCATATGAAATTTGACAAAGATCCATTCAGTACTTTTCCAGAAATAGCGGTAACAGACATTTACTTTCAAACTCCAAATTGGCCGTCTGTTGACCATCTTGAATTCAAATCAGTCCAAAAAAGGTACAATGCACAACTAGGGACCAAGGGGAACCTGCATATAAAATTTGAGAAAGATCCATCCAGTACTTTTCCAGAAATAGCGGTAACAAGAATTGTTTACGGACGGACGACGACGGACCACGGACACAGTGCGATTTGAATAGCCCACCATCTGATGATGGTGGGCTAATAAAATACAAGGTAAGTGTCTTAAAAAGTAAGCGACATTTTTGCTCAGGACAGATACAGACAGAAGTGGCTTTCCATTTTTGTCTTTCTCCACCCTCGCCTAAATACAGTTTATATTTCAAAATACTGACCATGTCTTCTCTATTTATTTGTACACGATATTTTACATTTGATCTAACTATTCCATCCCCTTCTCAACTCCTTATCCCCAAATAGATCTACATCCTGTGCTCTGATTTTCAAAACCAATATTTCTATAAATTGTACAAAATGTCATTTCGATAAACCCACGATACAATTATCTGTTATAATCAATACAAAAAGTAATAGACAGGAAACAATGATGTATTACAAGTTTTATTTTCCAAACAAACAATGATACATCAAATACTTTAATAAGAAATACATACTTATTTCATGACACTCCTATACTGACATTTACACTTCAATCATACAGCGAACGTCTTGAGAAACATTGTCTGTAACATTATAATCTACAGCACTAGTAGCTGTGCGAATAAAATTGAAAATGTTTTCATGATTGGAAAACAGTCATTGAAAAGTCCTCTGCTTCACCAAGAGTTCTGGCTCACAGCTGTGTTCTATCTCTAGGCTCAGTAGTATATCACTACCGTTCTTCATTGTAATTACCCAATCGCTTTGCATTGTGTTTATTATAATTCAACCTGAAAAATATAAACAATGTTTTGATGCCGAAAAACCAGGTACATTTTTCATGCGAATACTTACAATATCTACCTACAGCAAGAACACACTACATCCTAAGTATTTGAAAACAGATTTCTTCAACATGTCTTTATTTTTTTAGTTTAGTTTTTTAGTTTTTCATCTATTGTACTTATAACTAAAATAACAAATATTTATACACAAAGTACATATGTGTATCTGATGTATCTATACATATACACACATTTTAGAAGTATGTACACACAGTTCTGATGTATCTATGCACAATACTGATGCATACACACAGTATAGATGTATCTACAAACACTACTGATGTATCTCACATTTTAGAAGTATGTACACACAGTTCTGATGTATCTATGCACAATACTGATACATACACACAGTATAGATGTATCTACAAACACTACTGATGTATCTGCACAACATAGTGATGTACACGTTTAAACAGCATTGATGTATATACACACAACACAGATGTATCTCCACAGTACTGATGTATCTAAAAATATGAATTTTACAGATGAACTGAAAATATATGTCCACTGTGAAATACATGTTCTGATGTATTAAGATAAATGGTTCTTTTTTCCATTCGGAATATCTGAGATAGAACTTAAACTGTAGTGTATAAGAAGTTTCATAAAACCATTGACAGAAAAGTTTTATTTATAACTGATAATTGGTTAAAATTATAATTTGTCAACATTTTAAAGGTAGTAACGTCAAAACAGGTCAACAACAAACTGTTTGTTTGCTGAATCTTTGGAGTACACTGTAGCTACAGATGAACCTTGCTCAACAACATATGAGAGGCCTGTCAAATGCCTTCCAGATCATTTTGCGTAAAGCTTCTTCCCACGAACACAACCTTGGTCAAAACACCTTTAACTGTATTTTAATAGTAAATACACAAAACTTTCTCAGAATGGCTTCTTCGCCTTCCTAACACTTTTTGAGAAAAGCATGACTACAGTAATGTTATGGTTATAGTTCCTGTTTTACTCGTGTTGTCCTCCCACCAGTTTTACCTGTGTTGTTATCCCACCTGTTTAACCTGTGTTGTTATCCCACCTGTTTTACCTGTGTTGTCCTCCCACCAGTTTTACCTGTGTTGTTATCCCACCTGTTTTAACCGTTTTGTTCTCCCACCTGTTTTACCTGTGTTGTTATCCTAACTTTTTACCTGTGTTGTTATCCCAACTTTTTACCTGTTTTGTTATCCC